TAAAAGTGTAACATGGTTCTCTTAGATATCTGGACTTCACCATCTGCAGAAAAAAATCAGAATGGCCTCCAGCAAGAGTAGTAAAAGCTAGACATTACAACACCTGCTGTATCTCTTGCTACTTCTCCATTCAACAGGAAAAAGGGAAAGGACAATACGATGCACATGAGCAACTGGGAAGAAAGTCTATATTCTTTCCTTCCACGCACTCCTCACACACACATACATCCCAGAGCTATGTTATCCTTTCTCTTTCATATGTGAAACAAAGGAAAGCACATTATATACCCCTTCCTTCAATGAAAGGGTGGACAGAGGCAAAAATGTATTACCTACAAGAGACAAGACATCCTAGGTGTCTGATGACAACCACTTCCAATCTGTGACATCCCTAAAATTAAACACAGTTGAAATCAATTGTGAATGCAGCTAGTACATCTGGAACTAGCTGCCTTGATCTACCACCAGGCAGGTGAGAATAGGCACAAGTCCCAGAATCAATAATAAACTGAAGTAATTTTTAGTCTTCATAAGTCTGAGTTCTGTCACGTTCTCAAACGGCAAAAGATGATCATGGGGTGATCTTAATGCAGTATTCCTTTGGAAACACAACCACAAAGCAGCTTGAATTGACCGCACCAGACAAGCATGTTCCAATGACACAAGACACTGAGTCAGTGCAGTTATTAGTCTAGTTCCCTATAGAATGAAAACTTATATGATGTCCATGCTCATATGGAAGTTCTTCCACCTACACATCTGAAATTGCTGGCAACTTTACTTAACTTTACACAGCTCTCTTGAATAAATAATTCTCAGAGGTTCCATGCAAGTAGATAGCTAAGCAGAGTAAGAACCTATTTAAAGCAACAGCTCACTGACTTTCTAAAAATGCCTTAATAAAGCAATCTATACAAGGTAAAAAAGCTTACAGTATTCCTAAATGAAGAAATAGCTTTAAGAAGGTGTGAGCCCTAATTAGATTCAAAAGCCTACTGCAAACCAAGCTGCAAGAACCTAGACGTGTTTTTCCCCCCAGTTCTTATATGAGAAGCATAAATTGTTCTTCTGTGATTGCAGATGGACACTCACTATAAAACTTTACTGTTTCTGAACTCTAGAAGGCATTTAAGAGTCTTTGTTAATCTCCTTGTAGTCATAATCATCATAGATGTGAGTGATCAGCTAAGACCAAAACATCCTATGCATGTGACCACCACTACTGTGAAAATAAGTTTTCTTTGGGCTACTTGAGTGGAGAGAACACAATGGAATCTCTATTCAAGTTTATACACAGGAAGCAAAGACAACAAAATGTGATGAATTGCACTCAATTTCTGATATTTTCCTTAGGAAGGTCAAATACAAAAAGTACAAGTTTCTAGTTGGCTGTTTTTTACCTTGCAATTTCTAATTTCTTAGAAAGACTAGACCACCTACATTGGGAACTGCTTTCACTACAGGTTTATTTATTAAGCACATATATTTTTTCTGATACACTGTTATACCAACAAAAGCTCAACGAAGAAACTGAAACGTGTGGGATACTTTGTTTGCCGAACCAACATAAACTGAACTACCACAGCACTATATGACAGCCTAAACCAGTGACATACTGGTACGCCCCATAATATGCAACTAAACCCGTTATCCGTTACAGTTGTATAAATTCTTGTATAGACTACACATCCCTACTTACTAGGGATGAGTCAGAGTCAACTGCAGAACAAGCATAGGCTGCCACTACTAACCTTTATTACTAAACTAACCCCAAACAAATCACAATATTGTCTTAAAAGAACAAGAGAAAACTCATTTCTATTAATCACGCACTCTAAATTGCAATACCCATTCAACTGAATAACTAGAAAACAATCAGTTCAAAAAAGAAAGCACCTCAAAGGTGCCTTATTTAATATCCTAAACATCAATGGCTCATAACCCACATGAAATCAGTGCCTTTTTCTGTTATAAGAGCAACTGGAGAGAGCAATTTTTGTTTGATATTGCAGCTGTTCCTTGCATTCCCGAGCTGGATGAAGGATACCACTCACTCTGCTTAATGCACCTTACACAAGACATTCCTAATTCAAAACTGCCAATATAACTGATTACATAGATAATTTCAGTACTAATCTCTCAAAACTGGATCAGAAATCAAAACCACATTCAAGTTATAAAAAATATAATAAAATACTTGGGATCTCATTATCATGTTGATAGAGCAGCTAGCCATAGGTAGCTCATTTGATGACTGAGACCTTAATTATCTAGCAGATAAACTGACAGAAAAAGGTAGACTTGTATTTTTCTCCTCCTTTCTGTCAAACTGTGAAGACTGGAAATCTACACTCACATTTAATTTCAGAAATATTTTATAAACAAGCATTCAGGTACTTCCATCAAATTATCAAGTATCTATAATGTGACACAGTTCCCATAGAATCACAGAGCAGTTTGGTTTGGAAGGGACCTTGAAGATTATTTAGCTCCAACCCTCCTGCATGGGCAGGGACACCTCCCACTAGATGAGGTTGCTCAAAGCCCCATCCAACCTGGCCTTGAACACTTCCAGTGACGAAGCATCCACAGCCTTCATGGGCAACCAGTCCCACTGCCTCATCACCCTCACACTAAGGAATCTTTTCTTTGTGTCTAACGTAAATCTCCTCTCGTCTAGTTTAAAACCATCACTCCTTTTCTTATCATGTAAGACATTTAGATCAGTTAAGATTTTGGAGAAGTTTTAGCAGAATTTCAGTGAGACATTCTGAAGACTTGGAACAGGAACCATTTGGTTTACAAAGAAAGAAAATTTATGTCAACTATTCTCTCCACCACAGGTGTCATGGAAGTTTGTGAACCACACTGTTATTGTCCTGGGAAGTTTTGTGCAAGATCCACTGGGAGACATCTCTCAGCAGGTGGAAAGGTGAAAGCTTTTCACTGTTCTCAGAAAGTTTCACTCTTCTTCCATACAGACTCCATGCAAGAGACAGCACTTGCTGTGCCAGAAGAAAACACAAGGGCAAGGAAGAAAAACGCACAAAGCAAAAAGCATCCATAGGTATTTGTTAGACTGTCAGAAGCAGACCAAGGTCACTCACAGGCAACATGAATGAACAATGCAGATTACACAGCTGATAGAGAGCAGTTTTGAAACTTCTGTTCTCTTGATTTGATTACTGCAGGAACAAAAGAAATCAAATTTAACCGCAGTTATTAAGGCAAAAACTGATAAAACAGCTTTTACACCCACAGAAATGGAATTAAAGGTACCAACCTGTATCCTGCTTTAAACTATTACCTCTTTTATTGTTCCCTCAACCTTGCTAATAAAAGTCACACACACACAACACTGTCCATCTGGTTCTAGCCTGCTTGCAACAGCAGCACTCTGCTGACAGCTGCTTTATTTTCAGGGCTACATTTCATGACTAGTCAGTTTTCATCACTCCTTGAAAATGCTGTGCACCAAAGCCACAGATACACAGCCAGGTGAACAGAGTACTGCAGAAATACTCATTAGCTCAAATTTTCTCTTTCATAAGAACCACTATACACAAATAAGTCATTCTTCCTCTTCCCAAACACTTACTACATTTCACAATAATGACTGGGCACCATCACTGATAAACACCAGGTAGACCTTCAAGCTTGCCCCAAAATGACGATCTGACTTCTTATTACCAGCACACTGACTCGCCTTCATGCTTCAGCTGCAGTGTTCCAATGATACTTAGGAAAGACCATGAAAAGTAGCAATGTCTCTATCCTTAAAAGGTTTAAGTAACTGCTTTTTCCCCACTTTACGTCACTGTGTGAGACATAAACAATGAGACAAAAACAGCCAGCAGCAAAGCCAAGAACCTGCTTCAACACACATTCTTCAGCTCAAGGTCTGCAAGGATTGCTTTTATTAGGATGGCTTCATTCCCTGGTAAATCCCTTCAATCCGCTGTTTTATTTTATTTCGTATTAATAAAACACAGTAGGTGTTAGCAGTTCTAACAGAGAAGACAAAAAGCACAATGGATGAAAGGAAAACCCAGTGTCCACTATCTCTTATACCTGTGTAGCTTTCAGCAGTCTGAGCTATTAAAGGCGTTAACAGAAAACCTGGGCACTAGGACAGTTTCGCTGAAGGAAGAAAAGGGATATTTAAAAGCAATTAATGCCTGCCCTACCCCGGCCTTCGCTTCCACACGGGAAGGACTAACTCCCCTCCCCGAGAACGAGCACAGCGGTGGCCTGGCCACGGGTCAGGTCGCTCAGCAGGAGACTGAAGCCGCCCCTGCCCATCGGGTCGCCACGGCGACCCCGGAGCC